TCGGCGGCGGCTGCTTACAGTCCTCCGACGCGCTCCCGGGGACCCGGCGGCGCAGTCATTGTTCTGATTCACTGAACTAAGCGAACACGCCGGGGCACTCTCCGGCTCACCCCCGCCCGTCTGCGCCTCGTCCAGCCCTCCCTTCCAAGAGTCCCCGCGGCACGCTGGGAAATGTAGTTCTTGGCCTCGCCATCCCGGAAGGGGGCGTGGCAATAGCGGTCGGGGGCGTGACGACACGACGTAGGTGTGGAGAAAACACCAGGCCGATGGGGAGTGTCCTCCAGTCGCGTTTCTATTGGTGCAGGTTCGCCCCGGCCCCGCCCTCGGCCCGCCCTTTTTTTTTCAGGCGGGTAATGGCTGCTCCCGAGCTCCAGGGGGCTGCAGCCCGACTGGAGGAGGATGTCGGTGGGAGCGGCTGCGGAGTCGGGGGTGTCAGTGATGAGGGTGAGTACGGTGCCCCTGAGGCTTAGGTGATTTGTTTCCTTTCTGCACGACTACAGGGGCGCTGACTTCGGGTCCGACCCTAGTAGCCTCTTTCAGGTCTGAGGCCATCTGGGTTCAAGGGGGCCACGGGCGGGACCCAGCGGGCTTAGGTGGGGCGGGGGGCGGCTACTTGGCCGGGGCTGTCCGGGGAGGGCGGAGAAAATGGGATGGAACGGCCCTTCCTGCAACAGGGGAAGTGCCCTGAGCGTCTGCCTTCCGGTTTAGAGCTCCCAGCTTGGTTGTAGCTGCTGAGTGGGAGTGGGTCGGGTCAGGTTCGCGCGTGTGTGATCATAACTCTGGGATTAGCAGCCCTTTTGCCTCGCAGATATCCAGCTGTCTTGCTTTGACCTCGGAGACGTGTTTTATTTGACTTCTGAAGGGAAAGTGTGTGCATCCCACAACTTCCTGGTGGAGGGCTGACTGCCCTGGGCGTTCTTCAGATTTGAACGTGGAGCCTGGAAGATCTTCCCAGGCACTGGGTCCTTAAGAGGGAAGTGGTAATTTGCACTCTGGCTTCAGAGAGCGTTTGGAGGGGGTTATGAAGATCATCACAGCTACTTTGGCTCTACCTGACTTTCAAGTTGTCCTCTAATCCACCGTAAGGATCAAAAATCAGATTTTGAAAGCTGCAGGTGGAGTGTTATTAGGACTCTTTTACCTTTAGTCTATCTCCCCCTAGCCCCTGTTTTGTCCTTGGTGTGTAATTTCGCACAGCAGGCTATCTGTTTCTGATGGACATGGCTTGAGGCTGAAATGTGGTTCTCAGCCCTTGTTGAGGTTTGTTTGCTTGTATGTTTGCTTTTCAGTTTCTTTTTGTTTTTACAGTTAAGTGGATATTTAGTCTTACATTTTTATCTCAGCAGCGCAGAGATGAAGTGCAATTTCTTCCCACTTCTCATCCATAGAATACCCTACTCAGAAATTATTTTGGTACCTCCACCAAATAAATATTTGGTAGTCTTCTAAGTTAAATATTGAGTTGTGTCCACACCCTAAAGGGTTTATCAGTGGGTTGGCTATATACGGGGATTCATCTGATGGTAAAGGATTATTAAGGTTTCCCAGAATCTCAAGGAAGCAGAGGGCTACCAGTTTAAAATCTAAAGATGGAAGCTTTGGTAACTTTATCTCACAGATTCGCTTATTTTTTTAAAAAGGCTATGCCTATCAAAAATGTTAAACATTTAAAAATTCTCAGTTACTCAAAAGTATAAAACTTTTTGTCATAAACATCTCATATCCTTCAGAGGTGTGTAAAGTAAAAAATGTAAGTTTCTGCACTACATAGTCCCACTCCCATAGTATTAAACAGTTCAGAGTTTGGTGCATATTCTTCTTTCTTTTTTTATTTTTGTTCCTATTTTTTGAATCAGGGTCTCACTCTGTCACCTAGGCTGGAGTGCAGTGGCACAATCACAGCATACCGCAACCTCAGTCTCTTGGGCTCAGGCCTTTGTCTTGCTGGCAACTGAGGCTACAGGTGCAAGTCACTATGCCCAGCTCATTTTTGAATTTTTTTTTGTAGAGATGAAATCTCACTATTGCCCAGGCTGGTCTCAAGCCCCCAGGCTCAAGCAGTCCTCCCACCTCAGACTCCCAAAGTTCTGGGATTACAGATATACCCCACCACGCCCACCTTTCTTTCTAACATATTCTTATATAACACACATCTGTTTTGTTTTGATTTTTTTAAATAAAAAATGGATAATTCTATGTAAACTAACAGGTCTGCATCCTTCTTTTTTCTTAGTGATCTTCCATAGACACTCTTCCATATGAGTACATTTGTTATTTCATTATTTTTAAGGACTGTACCCATCATCATATTCCACAACATGAACGTGCCATACTTTAACCATTCCCCTATAAATGAATATATAGTGTGACATTAGTTTTTCAATAGTATTGCAGTGGACATATACCCATATGTTATATACATATATCCTTGACCACTGGGTGTGTATTTCTTGGGGGAATTGCTAGGTCAAAGGTTATGCAAATATAAACTTTTGATAAAAGCCAGATTTTCCTCTTCATAGGTATTCAGCATACATTTCCACTAGTAATATATGTGTCTCTTTCTCCTTATCGTCATCAACTTTGAGGAAATCATTAATCCAGAACCAATGTTTAAATGACATTGTTTAAATGACCAATGTTTAAATGACATTTAAACATAGGGTTGGATTAAGTAACTGATAGAAAGCTTAATTTTTGATTCCAATTTGTTTTCAACCAAAGAATTGAGTAGCAGTGGATTTGCAGTATTTTAACATAAAAAAAAAAAATTCCTACCGTGGCTCAGAACTACCAAGTATTTTCATTGACTTGTAGTGTCAATAGGAGAGCTTAATCGTTGATTTTTGTGTCATTCTTATAAAATGAAGTTGTCATTTAAAATTCCCCATAATAACTTATGTATTATTCTTTGACTTTATCCAAGTTCTTTTCAAAGTCAGAGAAATGTGATTCAAATTTTAGGTGGAAATAATTATATTAAAAGCATATTCATTTTTTTTGTGAGGCAGCCACTTAAGTTATTAAGTGTGTCTTTCCCAGTAAAATCAGACATCTTTTGATTTCTTGAAAACTGCCTTTTTAAAGGGATTTCCCACTAACTCTTATTAAAATGTCAATGTGTGTTTAATATCCTGGGACACCGGGGACTAGGGAGACTTTTTATAGAAATTCTTGTAGTTCCTCAAAATCTCTGCTGGAATGAGTCACTGTGGTTGTGCAGGCAGGTATACCACCTTCATGGGACCAACACCACTGTGTTGCTAGACTTCCTGTGGCTGCATCCCTCTTCAAAAGAGGTCAAATCGTGCAGGACACTGCTTTCCAATCGTTTGAACAGAAACTAGGATTTCAAATTGTTCCCTAATGTTAAGAACAGGTAATCAATAGATTAAACATCACTCACATTTGTAGTTTTGTTATTGAGTATTTGTTCTTTTCCAGTTTTTAGAAGTCAATAAGATGACATAGTTTATTAATTGATAGAACTTTTAGGGGGCTTTTTGACAGGTGATTTCTTCTGACAGTATTAACTTGTACTTCCACTTTGTAATACTCTGGCAAAGTCAACTTTTTTTCCTCCAAATATTTACCCAGCAGATGATGATCATGGTAATGTTTGGATTCATAACATTTGTCTTCTGGAGATCTTATTATCTCATGTGTGTTATCTCTGGAAGAAAAGGGGGCAGGTGAAGCCAACTCCTCATTCTTGTGTTTCGTGTTTCACTAAATGACATCATATGTACGCTAAAAACATAAGAAGCATCCTTGATTCCTATCTTGCCCTCAGGTACTGAATTTGATCAGTTACCAAACCTTATTTTTCTGTGCCTGAAAAAAATATACATATTTATATACATATTTATATGTAACATATATTATTTATATATATTCATGTATTATATATTTGTGTGTGTGTGTGTGTATATACATATACATATATGTATGTGTATATTTGTTTGTTTTGGTTTTTTTTTTTCAGTCAAGGACTTGCTCTGTTACCCAGGCTCTAGTGCAGTGGCATGATCATGGCTCACTGCAGCCTCAATCTCCTGGGCTAAAGTGATCCTTTCTCCTCAGCCTTCTGAGTATCTGGGACTACAGACACACACCACAACCCTTGGCCAATTTTTAGTTTTTTGTAGAGATGAGATCTCTCTGTTTGCCCAGGCTGGTCTCAAACTCCCAGACTTAAGTGATCCTCCTGCCTGGGCCTCCCAGAGTGCTCAGATTATCAGCATGAGCTGTTGTGCCTGGTCTTGAAGTATATTCTGAATTCGTTCCTTCTAGTTACCTCTACACCACTATTCTAATTCCATTTCTAATCCACACCATCACTGCTGAATTATCTGTCTGTGTCCCCCATTCCCCAGACGGTGCTCTTAAGGACCAAAACCTTGTCATATTTGTTTTTATCAGCCCTGTCCTGTTCTTAGCACATTGCCAATGTTTAATAAATGTTTGACCAGAATGGAATTCTAGCCTGAATGATTGCAAAACCTTCCTGTTGATCTTCTTTACTCTTGATTTTACTTCCTTTAATCTCCTTTCCAAAAAAAAATACATTAGTGGGTTTTCACTTGAAATCTTCAGTGTAACCTTACTACACGTATAATTAGGTCCAAATTGTCTGTGTGGCATTTAAGGTTCTAATCTATGTTTCCAGCCTCACCTGCAGTCCCTGCTTCCCTTCCCATGTCTTTATTATCTACTCACCACATCAGACTGTAGTTATTTATTGGCAGTTTCATCTACCCCAGTGGACTGTAAATGTCTTGAGGGCAACTGTTATCTTACTCCACTTTTATACATCCAGTGTTTATCAGAGCTGCATGTAGTAAACATTGTATAAGAGCTTAATGCTAGAATCTGTTTGAAATTTGCAAAATGTATTTAGAATGACAGCTATTTAAAGCAGAGAAACTGAAATAAAATAAAAAACTGAGCAGATGTTTTATGCTTGTGAAAAAGAATACATACCAACTAGAAGTACAGAATATTATCAGGAAACTGATAATATGATATTCTGTCAGAGGTAATCATAGTCAGCATTTTGGGATAGCTTTTCGATCTTTTTGAGTTGGAGTCTCACTCAGTCGCCCAGACTGGAGTGCAGTGGCCGCTCCCGGCCACCGCAGCCTCGCCTGCTAGGCTCCAGTGATCCTTCCGCCTCAGCCTTCTGAGTAGCCGGAATTACAGCCATGCGCTACCACGCCCGGCTGATTTTTTGATTTATTGTAGAGATGAGGTCTCGCTGCCCAGGCGGGTCTTGAACCCGTGGACTCCGGCAATCCACTCACCTCAGCCTCCCAAAGGCGCAGGATTACAGGCTGAGCCACCGAGCCCGGCTCGATCTTTTTTAAAATAAAGTTTTAATGTTGTTTAGAGAATGTTTATTTATTTATTTATTTTTAGTCAGGGTCTCACACAGGCTGGAGTAC